AACTCAACAAGTGACATAGTATTGAAACCTATAAAGTCAAAACCAAAGTAAATATTGTATCTAGAGATATTGGCAGAAAGTCAGTCAGTACTAGTGTGAAACTAATTGCCTCCTTTAGTCCTTGAAAGATTATATTGAACAGAGATAAATGAATGGGAAATTAAAAAGATTTCAAGAATATGTAATAAACTCTATCCACTACAGAAAATCTTTTAAGCACTTGTAAGTTTTTTGTTTAATTGAACATGAATATATTCCAAAAGATAGAATTAGTGTAGGTTACAGACACTGGGAACAATATTAGAAAGCTAGAAATAAATAACAGAAGAAAAATAATATTAAAAAATGTGAAAATAAACAATTTTGTAGTCAAAGAAGAAAATAAATTAAAATTTAATAAGCGAGGAGACTGCATATAACAACCTCTGGTATATTGCCAAAGCTGTATTCACAGGAAAGTTATAGAATTAAGCACCTTTATTACATTCTTGCTATATAAGAATAAAAATGGAACAAAAAAGCTATTGAATTTGAAAATTTACAAAAGAAAAAATGAACATAAGAAAGCAGGAGAAAATAATAATTTAAGCTACAATTAATGAATAGAAAACTGAAAAGCAGTATAAAGTATAATAAATCCAAGAGCTTTTTGTACCTTGGTACAAAATCTAAGTATAAATCTAAGTATAAATCTAAGGTATAAATATCTAAGTGGTTTTTCAAAGAAGGAAGAAAACAGCCAAGCACACAAATTAGGGATAAGTAAGAAGACAAAGCCAGCTGACAGATAAGTCAAAGTTATTGGGTAATACTTTCTATTGATTTATGTTAAAAATGTTAAAATCTGGAAAAATGTATTTTCTCTAGGAAGACCTAAATTGCTGAATGTTGCTAAAATAGATAGGAAATATATGTAGTTTTATATCTATGAAATTCTTCAGGAAGTTGTTCAACACCCACCCCTAAAAGCTATCCAGATAGCTTCAAAGACTTCAAGGAAGAGACAATTCTGAAGAGTTTGAGTAATCTATAGATCACAGGAAAATGTAGGAAGGCTTCCAAACTTGTGAAACTGAGCACAAAAATGATACTTTCACTTTGATAATATAGACAAAAATGTAAACTACTATAGAAAACAGCTGTATTTTATATATAGTTACAATTATATTTCAAAAGACCCTTCCCTAAGCAGTGCTCACTCTAAAATTGCTGGGAGAGTGCATGTTGTGAATTCACATGATTACTTTAAAGGAGAGGAAAATTATTCATTCATGTTGCAAAGACATTTTTTAATTGATAAACTTTTAATTAATTTTGGATGTTAGTTAAAACTAATTTTTTTTTATACTTTAATTTCTGGGATACATGTGCAGAATGTGAATGTCTATTGCATAGGTATACATGTGCCATGGTCGTTAGCTGCACCCATTGACCCGTCATGTACAATATACATGTAAAATTTCTCCTAATGCTATCCCTCCCCTAGCCCCCCAGCCCCGACAGGCCCTGATGTGTGACGTTCCCTCCCTGTGCCCATGTGTTCTCATTGTTAACTCCCTCTTATGAGTGAGAACATGTGGTGTGTGGTTTTCTGTCCTGTGTTAGTTTGCTGAGAATGATGGTTTTCAACTTCATCCATGTCCCTGAAAAGGACATGAACTCATTATTTTTTATGGCTGCATAGTATTCCATGGTGTATATGTGACACATTTTCTTTATCCAGTCTATCATTGATGGGCATTTGGGTTGGTTTCAAGTCTTTGCTCTTTTGAATAGTGCTGCAATACACATACTTGTGCATGTGTCTTTGTAGTAGAATTATTTATAATCGTTTGGATATATACCCAGTAATGGGATTGCTGGATCAAATGGTATTTCTAGTTCTAGATCCTTGAGGAATCGCCACACTATCTTCCACAATTGTTGAACTAATCTACACTCCCACCAACAGTGTAAAAGCATTCCTATTTCCCCACATTCTCTCCAGCATCTCGTTTCCTGATTTTTTAATGATCACTGTTCTAACTGGCAAGAGATGGTATCTCACTGTGGTTTTGATTTGCATTTCTCTAATGACCAGTGATGATGAGCTATTTTTCATATGTTTGTTGGCAGCATAAATGTCTTCTTTTGAAAAGTGTCTTTTTATATGCTTCACTCACTTTTTCATTTTTTTTTTTTCTTGTAAATTTGTTTAAGCTCCTTGTATGTTCTGGATATTAGCCTGTTGTCAGATGGATTGAAAAAACTTTCTCCCATTCTGCAGGGTGCCTGTTCACTCTGATGATAATTTCTTTTGCTATGCAGAAGCTCTTTAATTTAATTAGATCCCATTTGTCAATTTTGGTTTTTGTTGCCGTTACTTTTGATGTTTTAGTCATGAAGTCTTTGCCCATGCCTAGGACCTGGATGGTATTGCCTAGGTTTTTTTCTAGGGTTTCTATGGTTTTAGGTCTTATGTTTAAGTCTTTAATCCATCTTGAGTTAATTTTTGTGTAAGGTGCAAGGAAGTGGTCCAGTTTCAGTTTTCTGCATATGGCTAGTCTGTTTTCCTAACACCATTTATTAAATAGGGAATTCTTTCCCCATTGCTTGTTTTGTCAGGTTTGTCAAAGATCAGATGGTTGTAAATGTATGGCATCATTTCTGAGGCCTCTGTTCTGTTCCATTGGTCTATATATCTGTTTTGATACCACTACCATGCTGTGTTGTTTACTGTAGCCTTGTAGTGTAGCTTGAAGTCAGGTAGTGTGATGCCTCCAGCTTTGTTCTTTTTGTTGAGGATTGTCCTGGCTATATGGGCTCTTTTTTGGTTCCATATGAAATTTAAAGTAGTTTTTCCTAATTCTTTGAAGAAAGTCAGTGGTAGCTTGATGAAGGTAGCATTGGATCTGTAAATTACTTTGGGCAGTATGGCCATTTTCACGATATTGATTCTTCCTATCCATGAGCATGGAATATTTTTCCGTTTGTTTATGTCCTCTCTGATTTCCTTGATCAGTGGTTTGTAGTTCTCTTTGAAGAGGTCCTTCACATCCCTTTTAAGTTGTATTCATAGGTATTTTATTCTCTTTGTAGCAATTGTGAATGGGAGTTTAGTATGATTTGGCTCTCTATTACTGGTGTATAGAAATGCTTGTGATTTTTGCACATTTATTTTTGTACATTGATTTTTGTATCCTGAGACTTTGCTGAAGTTGCTTATCAGGTTAAGGAGTTTTTGGATTGAGACGATGGAGTTTTCCAAATATATAATCATGTTATCTGCAAACAGACAAAATTAGACTTCCTCTCTTCCTATTTGAATACACTTTATTTTTTTCTCTTGCCTGATTGTCCTGGGCAGAACTTCCAACGCTATGTTGGATAGGGGTGGCGAGAAAGGGCATTTTTGTCTTTTGCCGGTTTTCAAAGGGAATGCTTCCAGCTTTTGCCCATTCAGTATCATACTGGCTGCTGGTTTGTCATAAATAGCTCTTATTATTTTGAGATACATTCCATCAATACCTAGTTTATTGAGTGTTTTTAGCATGAAGGGTGTTGAATTTTATCCAAGGCCTTTTCTGTATCTATTGAGATAATTATGTGGTTTTTGTCATCCATTCTGTTTATGTGAAGGATTACGTTTATTGATTTGCATATGTTGAACCAGCCTTGTATCTGAGGGATGAAGCCGACTTGATCGTGGAGTATAAGTTTTTGATGTGTTGCTGGATTTGGTTTGCCAGTATTTTATTGAGGATTTTCGCATCAATCTTCATGAAGGATATTGGCCTGAAGTTTTCTCTTTCTGTGTCTCTGCCAGGTTTTGGTATCAGGATAATGCTGGCCTCATAAATGAGTTAGGGAGGAGTCTCTCTTTTTCTATAGTTTGGATTAATTTTAGGAGGAATGGTACCAGGTCCTCTTTGTACCTCTGGCAGAATTCAGCTGTTAATCCGTCTGGTTCTAGGCTTCTTTTTCGTTAGTAGGCTATTAATTACTGCCTCAATTTCAGAACTTGTTATTGATCTATTCAGGGATTCGACTTCTTCCTGGTTTAATCTTGGGAGGGTATGTGTGTCCAGGAATTTATCCATTTCTTCTACACTTTCTAGTTTTTTTGTGTAGAGATGTTTATAGTATTCTCTGGTGGTGGTTTGTATTTCTGTGGGATCAGTGGTGATATCCCCTTTATCATTTTTTATTGTGTCTATTTGATTCTTCTCTCTTTTTTCTTTTTCAGTCTGGCTATTGTGCTATCCATTTTGTTCATCTTTTCAAAAAACTACCTCCTGGATTCATTGATTTTTTGAATGTTTTTTTTTGTGTCTCTATCTTCTTCAGTTCTGCTCTGATTTTAGTTATTTCTTGTCTTCAGCTAACTTTTGAATTTGTTTGATCTTGTTTCTCTAGTTCTTTTAATTGTGATGTTAGGGTGTCAATTTTAGGTCTTTCCCATTTTCTTCTGTGGGCATTTAGTACTAATAATTTTCCTATAAACACTGCTTTAGCTGTATCCCAGAGATTCTGGTACATTGTGTCTTTGTTCTCATTAGTTTCAAAGAACTTATTTATTTCTGCCTTAATTTCATTATTTACCCAGCAGTCATTCAGGGGCATGTTGTTCAGTTTCCATGTAGTTGTGTGGTTTTGAGTGAGTTTCTTAATCCTGAGTTCTAATTTGATTACACTGTGGTTTGAGAGACTGTTTGTTATGATTTCTGTTCTTTTTAAATCAAATTCAGCATCCATTCACTGTAGAAAAAGAAGTGATTAGTAAAATTTGTGAGGAATATTTATCTTTTACCAGATGAATTTTAGCATCAAGTTTTTGGTTGAAATCCTAAAAATTCCCACAAATGAGTAATAAGATAATTGTGTCCACCACCATCATTTAAAAAAATTAATAATGTAATAAGATGAAATAATGCATGTAGCTAATGTAAGACTACTGGAGCTCTCCCCACCCTGCCACCGGGACACAGAGCGTCCTCCGCCATGTGTCCGATGACACCTCGCTGTCATCCCCATGGCTTGCGCGCCCTTGTAGACAGCCTGGGGCCTTTGCGAGACCGGTGCAGGCCTGCGGTAGTCTCCTGTCTGGACAGAGAATAGAAGAATGCAAGACACCGGCTCAGTAGTGCCGTTGCATTGGTTTGGCTTTGGCTACGCAGCACTGGTTGCTTCTGGTGGGATCGTTGGCTATGTAAAAGCAGGTAGCGTGCTGTCCCTGGCTGCCAGGCTGCTCTTCAGCAGCCTAGCCGGCCTGGGTGCTTACCAGCTGTCTCAGGATCCAAGGAACGTTTGGGTTTTCCTAGCTACATCTGGTACCTTGGCTGGCATTATGGGAATGAGATTCTACCACTCTGGAAAATTCATGCCTGCAGGTTTAATTGCAGGTGTCAGTTTGCTGAAGGCCACCAAAGTTGGAGTTAGTATGTTCAACAGACCCCATTAGCAGAAGTCATGTTCCAGCTTGCACTGATGAAGAATTAAAAATCTGCATCTTCCACTATTTTCAATGTATTAACAGAAATAAGTGCAGCATTTTTGCATCTGACATTTTACCTAAAAAAAAAAAAAAAAAAAAAAAGACACCAAACTTGGCAGAGGGGTGGAAAATCAGTCATGATTACAACTCTACAGAGGTGGCGAATATGTAACAGAAGAGCTTAATAAGACCCTAACAGAGATTGATTCTTGTATATTGATGTTATCTCCTCTTTCCATATCTATAGGTAAATCTCAAGGATAAAATATTAGATGTCAACTTTGAGGGCCCTGAAATCCCATTCTGTGCTCTGAGGAGCAGTGTGAGAAAATCTCTTATGAGATTTAGAATATCTGTTCTTTTGCTCATCTTAGACCACAGACTGACTTTGAAATTATGTTTAGTGAAATATCAATGAAAATAAAGGTTACTATAAATAAATAAATAAATGAAAAAGAGTACGTGAGTTGGCTATTGGCTCAGAAAACCTAAAAGAACAGCTAAAAATATTAAAAATAAATAATAAATTTCTCAAGGGCATCAGTTATAAATAAATACACCAAAATAAATACCAATAAAATCTGGTAGTGAATACACTGGAAACAGGGTGAAGTCAAGACAGCAGACTCTTCACTCATTTATTTTACAGTTATGATTCTCCAACTTCAGCATGCATAAGAATCACTGGAGGCCCTGCTGAAACAGATTGCTGGGCCTCAGACATGCTGATTCCAGAGATGCTGATTCAGTTTTTCCAGGTGGGGCTTGAGAATTTGCCTTTCTAACAAGTTTGTAGTGATCCTAATGCTGCTGGTTCCTGGACTACATTTGAATAGCCTACAACTCTGTGAAGCTGAAGTCTTACCCAGCTGTGTTCCACAAAAAAAGCAAGCCTTGCCATATCTTCAATACCCTTTCATGTGTGCTACCCCAGTGAAGCACACCTTTACCTCCTGAAGCCCACTCCCTCATTGGGACTTTATAATCCAGCATTCATCTGTTTCCCACACTCACCTCTAAGTTTTGGAAAAAAACATTCATCTGTTTTCCAGTTTTACCTCTAAGTTTTGGAAGAAACATGGGTCCTCCTGTTTCTTCCAAAACTCAGAAGTAGTTAGAGAACAAAGGTAACAACTCCACCATCAACCCTAATTCAATGTCATTGCCATTCCTAAAACTTAAAAGGAAGAGAAGATGGAAAAGAAAAGATAAGGAGTAGAGAAAACAGTCCAGAGAAGCAGAAAGGAAAGCCTCCAATACAGCCACGCCATTGTTGGAGACGGTTTTTATCTGTAAGTTTCTCAGTCTTGCAGCATCCACTCCCCATGACTTTTGATCCCCTTGTACTTACTCATTGCTTTTCTCAGATACTGTGCTTTCAGATTCATTTGGTTTCAGATTCATTGCTTTTCTCAGATATTGCACTTTCAGATTCATTTGAAGCTTTCGTTTATTTAGAGCAGTGACTCAAATCTGAATGCATGCCAGATTCCATTAAATGGCTACACCTGAGTCCCACCTTTGAGATTTTGGTTTTGTTGGTCTGAGATGGGAGTATTGTCATTTTATTAAAGTTTTCCCATGAAATACAATGCACCTCCATGATTGAGAAGAGATCCCTGTCACCTCAAAGTTGGCTAAGAAGAATTGTGCTCTAGACCAGAGAAGTGAGAATTTTCCCCAAATCGCCAAACCATCTTTCTTTGCTTCCACCTGGAAATGTATACTTTCCATTTGATTGATATTAAAGTTCAAAAGTATCTCTGTAGTTAAATTTGTGTGGAGAATGCAAATTATCTTATAACCACAACTGAGGATTCAGGTAGCTCACCATCTGACTTACGGTTGATGACTGATTTTTATGCATCAACTTGGCTAAGCTTCAAAGACCAAATGTTTGGTCAAATACCAGTCTAAAGGTTGCTATGATGACATTTTTCAGATAAGGTTGGTATTTAATCAGCAGACTTGAGAAAAGTCACGTACCTTCCATAATGTGGGTGAGCTTCCTCCAGTTAGTTGAAGGCCTTAAGAGAAAAGGGTGACATCTACCAGAGGAAGAGGGAAATGTTCCTTCAACCTGAGTTTACATTCAAGTTGCAAGATCAGCTCTTCCCTGGGTCTCCAGCCTGCTCAGCAGATTTTGATTTTGCTAACCCCTACAATCATGTGAGCCAGTGCCTTAAAACCTGCCTCCTCTCTCACTCTCTTTCTCTGTATCCCTCTCTCCCTTTCTCTTTCTTTCTTGTCCCCCAGTTTCTCTCCCTTTCCTTGCCTCGCTCTTTTCTCTCTCTACCCCCTTATCTCCCTTCTGGCCTCTTTCCTCTCTACTCCTCCTCCTTTTCTCCCTCCCCACTTTTCTCTCTCTTTTCTGTCCCCCTCTCCTCTCCTCTTTCTGTCTGCCCCTCACTCTCCCTCTTTCTTCTCTCTCCTCCCTCTCTTTCCCTTTCTCTCCTCTCTCCCTCATTCCTCTTTGCCTCTCTCTCCCTTACTCTTCCTCCTCTTCCTTCTCTCTCTCTTTGTGTGCATGTGTGTGTGTATGTATGTATTCCCTTCATGCATCCTGAAGGTATGTGTATTCACATGCTTACATGTAGACATATACATCCTACTGTTATTTTTTCTGGGGAGGACCTTAACACATCATCAACTTAGGTGGAAGTGAGATTAACTGCTAAGGCCCTGGGGTTTATGGCTTCCTTTTGGGCAACTTTGTCCCCTGAACAGAATACAGATCAACATTGAGTCCCCTGAATTTCTCTTAAACCTTCTGAGCATGAGATAGCCTCTCTAGGGTCCTCAGCTCCAGAGTCTGTGACCTCTGTTCCTGATCTCACCCCTATTCAGAGCTGGTAAGCTGTGCATAAAGGATGGTGGATGATAAACTTAAAATCTAACATTTGGGTTCTAAAACCTTTACAAATATTCAGACTTATGTAGCAGCTAGATGATTGAGCTTTCAACAATAACCTCTGTACTTTAGATTCCAGTTTCAGAACTGCACATTAAACCAATTTTGGTGGAGGGTACAAGGCAAATGTTAGATAAAACATGGAATATTAACCTTCACAGCAAAACCTTTTAGATTCGTTTAGATAACTGATTGCTCAAATAGCCTGTTTCCATTATTGTCTAAGCTTTGTGAATCACAGAAAGTACACTGCTAATCACAACTTGTCTGGTTTTACACAGGTCAGAATGTCCTCAAAAATAAAAGCTCAGTAAACCATTAACCTTTTGTGTTGGCCACTGCTATTTTATCTAGAGACCTTGTTATGAGGACAAGATGTTTGATCTATGGCAGTGGTTCTGAAACGATAGTGTGTATCAAATTTATGCAGAGTGCTTGAAAAACAGAGTTTTTGAGTCCTACTCCTAGATCTTCTGATTTAGTAGGTTTTGGGTAGAACCTCAAGATCTGCAATTTTAACAAATTCCCAAGTGATGTTGATAACTGCTGGTCCATACACTACTCTTTTGGAAAATCTAACTCTTAAAAAGTACAGTCGAGCAAATGAATTAATGGAAAATATATTTTTTTCACCTGGGTTCAGCAGGTTATCAACAGGGATTCTTCGAACACTTAATATGTGCTTGGTCAGCACTGTGATAGTGTTGTGTGGACACATGAGAATAGTTGCTGCGATCAAAGAACTAACCATCCGTTTGGAGGATCAAGACTAACATACCTATTTGTAGTAAAGAACAAACCTTGAGATATAACAGCTTATGTGTCACAGATGAAAAGACTGGCAGGAGTTCATAAGAAAGGAAGATAATGAGGACTCTGGGAACTATGGAAAGCTTCTGTTGAAGGGGAAATGAACTGGGCCTGGAAGAACTGGATTAATAGATTAGAAAATAAGAAATTCAAGGTGGGAGAGTCACATGGGGACAGAGGCAGAATGAGCATTAAATTGGCTGTTTAGGGGAAATGGTTGGTGTCTTGCACATGAATGTATTTAACAAACAATGTGATGATTACCATGACTTAGAGTGGTAAACAGATTTGGAATGGTTAGGGGAAGAGGTATGTTATGAGAGGTCTGTGAACCCAGGCAGAGAACATAGAGTTAGAACAGTAGGAAATTCAGAATACTAAGCAGAAGAAATGCATGATAAAAGTAATATGTAGGAAATATAAATTTAGACACAATGTGCAGAATAGGTTGGACTATGTGGAAATGAAAGATGCATTGAGTTCTTGGAGCTAAAGGCTTATTGCGGGGGGTCCAAGAGTGAGAAGATTAGGACCAGAATTAAGCTTGTTGCACTAAGAGTAAGAAAATAGATACCCACATTTTCTATGGAAAATGATTTGTTTCAGTGACATAAACAAATGTATAAAGGTGGTACTTTTGAACTTGGGTATTCATCAAGAAAGGAAATGTTATTAACAGGGATAAATATTTTTAAAATTTAGTTTTGCCAGAGAGATGTATCTGGTTTTGGATATGTTGATTCGAGGTAACAATACATTCAAAAAAATTCTCTAACTAAGATTTGTGTATTTAAGGAGAGTACATGACATATCAGTTTGAAAGTAACTGATATTAATTTTTTATTTAAAGCTGTAAATGTGAGAGAAAATATTTACTCATACACATTTATTCCTTAAGTTTTAATGGATCACTTTCTGTAAGTCAGACATCATAGTGGGAGTACAAATGGGAAATTAATAAGAGAATTTAGAGACAGAAAGTCAAGGAATTGAATCTAGGAAGGGCTCCTTAGAGTTTGGATAAAGTCAGAGGAATAAATGAAGAAAACACGTGAGAGGTACAGTTGTAAAAAGAGAATGAGGATGGTGTTGAAAAGGGTTGGAAGTAGAAGAAATGATACCTTGTGGCAGCAGAGGTCAAGGATAATCATGGAGAAATGTGACTGGGATTGGCAAAAGAAAACATTAAAAATCTCCTAGGGAAGAGGAGGCAGAAGAAGGGAGTAGATGTGAAGAGACTGATGAAGAAAGAGCCATAGAGCAATAAAAGTAGAAACAAGTTAGGATACCACACTGGTGGAGAGCTAATAATTTGAAGGAAGGAAAAAATACCTCATCTTCTGATGGGAAAACACAACGGACATATGACTTATTTTCAATACAATCATCTTTTTTTCAAAACTAAACATATATTTTTACATAAATCTATAACTTTAAATATTTCTTGCATATAATGTAATCTACTTTTATAAATTATATATGCATTTAAATGTAAACATTAAATGGACGCTGACTCTGAACTAAAGGTATTTCTATTAACATTATGATAGTATTCAATTTTTACATGAATACTTTGCAGAATGAGATAAATTAAATCTAACAAAGTGAATTGTAAAATATCTAGTAGAATAATACATTGCTTATTTTCTTCTTTCTATTTAAAAAAATTTGTAGGCAAATGCATGTGAACATTCACATTTTCTTTCCTTGACATTG